GTACCTTCCAGCTGTGATTACATTGAAGAGCAAAATAGACGAGACCGCTACAGCTGCTCCAAAAATTACCGTCTCAAACATGCTTCCACTGAGGGAATTATAATTCGGTTCTGCCACAATATTTTATGTTCTAGCAGCCCATCCGAGTTGAGGCCGTCATGCAAAACAATAGACTGGGGCATTGTAGACATCGTCGAGAGACAGCATTAAACGAGCCTACTTGTATGACTACTCGCTAAAGTTGGCGCCACAAAGTGAAATCTACCTATTACTTTTTGCGATTGAACTTTCATGACTTACCGTTTGAGCAAAACTCTCGACTAATTGGAAACATTGAAAGCCTCATTTTATCGGATTATTTCATTTCAGTCGAAACGCAAATATGTGACGTTAAAGACGCACAGACGATGGGAAGACACACTCACATCGAGTGCAAGTGATGACGGTAATGCCATTGTAAGAGTGTGATTTAGAAGCCGCCTGGTCTGCCCGAAACGCCACATCTTCTGCCGCTGGGTCCATTCCGATCGGGAGGAGGCAGTCCTTCGAGAGACGATGTAAAAGTGTGGAAGTCAGTGGCGATGTGAGGCCTGCTCGATGGATCGTGAGAGAATTGAACCACCCATTCGGCGGACTCAAGTTCCCATTCAAGACGCCCTGATGGCCACGAAAGGTGCTCAGGTCCGAAGTACAAAGCGAACAAGAGTTGGGTCTCGAGGAATGTGCTGCTTCATGATTGTTGAGTTTACTCCCATTTCGAATAAAAGTGTCTGTAATGAAGCTCCTCTGCATACGACGGACAAAAGCTCGGCTTGTTGTCATCGGAATCGAAGAAGACTGCCTCGGAAACAGCCTCGACACGAATGTTCCGGTAAATTGTTGAGCTTATTTCCATTTCGAGTAAAAGTGTTGGCGGTGAAGAGATTCGAAGGTCGGTACCACCAGAAGACGAAGGCTGATTCCACTTTATCAGCTGTCGATTGGCTTTACTGCAACATTCATCCTAAATCGGTTTCCAAGACAATCTCCTTCGATTCCGATGCAAAGGTGCTAAGCTTTCGTCTGTCATGTGACGGACATCATCACAACCAAATTCAAACTAACGAGTCAAGAAGACTCACCGGCAAATCCCTAAAAAGTGGTACATATACTCTACATCTGGCCTCTTTGATC